GACTGTCGGGGCAGAGAAGGAGTCATTATAGATTATAATACACTCGGCTGCTTTAAACAGAGCAGCAACCTTAGGGAAAGGGGATAGTTGATGATGGGAATTCACATTCCATTTTAAAAAGAGAATCATGGGTATGACAAAATAGGGTTATTAGAAATGATATGACATAGTGACTAAGTACTCAGCCCATAGATTCAGGCTGAGCTGAATTCAAAATATTTGTCTATATTATGTCTATATCCTTAGACAAATTATTAAACTCAAGAATGAACACCTTCTTTTCTGTGCTATCAGAATGATATCTTCATCTATGAAAGACATGCATGACTGCATGACAAGTCACAACTCAATAAATGTTGCTCTTTATTCTCAAGTTATAGCTGTGGTTCTTCACAGTACCCCAGTTAGATGCAGAGGGCCAGTACTCTTATCTCCAGTCACATGGGTAGAGATAAACTGGTGAAATTTTTCTCTTTAATGCCCTGAGAGCTGGCATAGCCGAGCTGGCCTGGGCCTCTGGACCTCCAGGGTTCTATTTCAGTACTTGTGGTACTATGTTATTCTTCATTTCTTCTTTGTGTAAAATGGTAGGAAACAGAAATCGGGTAAGCCACTGAGGCGGTTACTTATAGCCATTTCTCAGTGAAACCTAACCTAAAGGCTTCAGTAAGCACTGAAGGCCTTGTCCAGTGTGATGCCCACAGAACTGTTCTCAGAGCTTTCTGGGAGCTGACCTGTTCTTTTCCACAATGAAAGAAGAAAAAAAAATATCAAGAGTATGATTTTAGAAACATGAACAAGAACAAGAGTTTTACACTGTGATCTTGTATCTGTTGAATCTAAAAGTAAAAAATTGTGCTTATATCTTCTACATTGTTTTTCAGTTAAGTTTCATTTTACAAAAGTATCAATCAATAACAAATTTGATAATAGACAAATGGCAGACAAAAACGTCTGTCCTCTCCCACAGAGAGTTTAAGAATCACTGTTTGAGGGCTATAAGGATCCTTTACTAGTCGAGGGGAAAGATAGCAAGAGGAGGAGTCGGCAGGCATGGAGAGGACTGTGGGGTGATAGCCCTGGACCACTGGGCCATTTCTCCATACAATTGATGAGAAATGGTAGAATCACTTAATCTCTTAAGCTAGTCTCTGAACTAGAAAGCCATCCCCAGACTAAATTAAATGTATTCAAGGCTGACCTGAAAGAAACTGTGAGGTGAGGGGGCAGGCAGCACGCCTACTAAGAACCACAGTCACTTCCTGTTCCTGTTTTGAGTCAGCTCAGTTTGGCAAGTACTCTCCCCTCCAGTTTCCCCTCCACTCCCAGGGTCTTGGTGATTTCCACTTGACCATGAAGGGTGGATCAGTGGGCACTGTCCAAAGAACATTAGAGACATTGGAGTGTCCCCTGGAGTGTTCCCTGGAGGCCTGTTTGATCTGAATAAGAAAACTGAAGATCAGAGGGCATAAAAGGTTTGTCCAAGGTCACCTACCCTGTACCCACAGGTATTGAAGCTTCTGTACCTTGAAGGCTTTAACAAATACAAACAAGTAAGCCTTTGTGGAAACATCTCCAACATTTACTATAGGGGATACAGATCCAGTTAGTTTGAAATGCTGAGTCACCTCGGTGTACTATTACAGGGAATGCAAGTCAAAATAGTGTGTACAGTGCTATGCAATACAGCCTTTTGAATCAACACCATTTAGGAAGAAAGAAGGTACTGTTAGGTTTGGGAGATGGAAATGATAAAACTCAACTGTATTAACAGAATATAGAAATAGCATCACCCCAATGTCCTATGTACAAACAGACACTCACATATACTATTCATTGAATTCTGAACATGAACCTTCAGGGTAGCTGCTATTATCCCCAAGAATTAATAAAATTAGCTACTAAGACATTAGAGGTGACTAAATTCACACTGTTAGTAAAGACAGAGCTGTGAACTGAATGAAAACCTTCCAAATGCAAGCTCTTCCCATAAGCTCATTGCAGGACTTCAGGAGTCCTTAAAATGCTCTACTCTTACCTAACATGCAAGACGTGGGCATTAGGAGGGGAAAACACCTCAGTAGTGTTTCCTCATCTCAGCAGATCCCAGAACACCAGCGGGTATGGCCTTCACTCAGAAAGGGAAGGAGCTCCAATCTTGGATCTGTGAGTTCTCAGGGGGGTGAGCACTAAGGAAGCTGCTGGAAAGACCCTGTTCTGTTCTTTCTCTTTGTCATGTGACAGTTTACAGAATTGCTTTATTTGTTTAATATTCAGTTGAGGATGGAGAGAGAGATGCTGAATGGGTAAGAGCACTGACTATTTTTCCAGGGGACCCAGGTTTGATTTTCAGCACCCACATGGCAGCTAACAACTCTCTCTAACTCTAGTTCCAGAGGTCCTAACATCCTCTTCTGGACTCCATGGGTACCAGACCCACACAAGGTACACAGACATATATTCTGACAAAATACCCTTTCATATAAAAAGAAATAAAATTTGAAAAGAATAATTTTAGTATAGCTATTTAAGTCAAACCATTTAGATCTGAATGGTGTTCAGTAATATTCCAGATCTGCACAAACATATGCCAAGTTTTCTAAGACTATGGCTGTTGCAAAGTGGTCATCACTGGGACCTTTTAAAATCTAGGGGAGAATGAAGCCAAAATATTGTTAGAGTGTGGGAGGAGGAGTTGGGAATGGAACTGAAAATTGTCTTTTTTTTTTTTTTTTTTTTTTTTTCGAGACAGGGTTTCTCTGTGTAGCTTTGGAGCTTATCCTGTCACTCACTCTGGAGACCAGGCTGGCCTCAAACTCAGAGATCCTCCTGCCTCTGCCTCCCGAGTGCTGGGATTAAAGGCGTGCATCATCAACTCCCGGCCTGAAAATTGTCTTAATCTTGCTAAATTTAGGAGTAGTGTTGATTCATTACTCTCCAACTTTCACTCTTACTATACCACTGTGTTTACTTTGCTACTAAAATATGGGAGCCTGGTGCTACCCAAAGCCAACAGTCCTGGTTAGATTGTCCTGACTAGTCCACGGAAGAGAGGTGTGTATCTCTTGGTCACCAAGTACAATATTCCACAGAAAACCCTAGATATGCCCATATTTACTTCTCTCTTTTTGAGACAGTCTCATGTTTTGTGGTAATATGATATTCTAAAATATCCCCTACATCCTAAGAGATTGAAACTTTTGCTGGATCTCACAAAGTTAATAACAAGCCTTGAAAGCGCTTACCTGCTAACCTGATTCTAAGAGAACAATGTAACTACCAAACTTACCTACCATGTGATCAGTTCTTACAACCTAAACTAATGTACAGCTGCAATCTTAAATTATGTCCTCTTCTATGTCGCTGACCCACAGTAATGCCTGTGTATCATTTGCTGAAAGCAGCAAATACAGAAGTTGAAAGCAACTTCCTAAAATCTACCACTTAAAGGTTGTAATCGACCATTTATGGATATTGGTTGGTAAACAATGATATTTGTTATCCGGGTCAGCTGGACTTAATTCCTTGTTAAACTCTATTAAGGATTTCTGTTAAGTATTCCTCATTCCTTCCCCTATGTGGAGCTTTCTATGCAGTTCAATAAAGACAGAACAGAGCCTCTTGTTAGGGAGATCCAGACACCAGGTACCTAGTCACAGGGCAGTCACACGAAAGACAGATAGACACACAGAGACACAGGAACACACGGATTAACAATTCAGCCTTCAACCAGTTTAAGAGATTGAGACACATACATCAGACCTACAGAGGAAGGGAGACAGAAAGCATGAAGCAGAGAATTCAAATCTAGACTCTCTTTTGGTTAAAGAAGGGGAAGTTCTCTTCTTTCTCTCCTTAATAGGACATAGCTGCATTATTGGTAACTCAGAGGTAATGACTAACACATTATAATCCACACAGTGTAACCCAGGCTAGCCTTGACATTGAACTTCTGATAATTCTATATCCATCACTCCCCCCACAGCCACCTCCCTCCACCCTCCAGTGCCAGGATTACAAGCATAAGGTATCACAGCTAGTTTATTTGGTGCTGGAACCAAACACAGGGCTTCATGCATTCTAGGCAAAACATTTACCATCTGAGCTACATTGCCACATTTATTTCAGATAAATGAAAGTTGGATCATTGTCTTGAAGACTAAACATCATTGCTAACATGGTTTTAGTTATCATCTTCTCCAAATGTCATATTTCTTTATATTAGCATAAATTGTTCCCTATTTCCATTAAGAAGTTCAATGCAAATTTATACCTCAAGTCACTGTACCAAATATGAAGGCAGATATTGTCTGCAAGCATTTATGGGAGAGTTCTTTATCTTGACATTTTACTGATGCTTTCTTTTTCTGAGACAGGGTCTCATTATGGAGGCCTAGCTGTCCTGGAACTCACCACGTAAACCAGGCTGGCCTTGAAGTCACAGACATCTGCCTTCCTCTGCCTCCCAAGTGCTGGGATTAAAGATGTGTAAGACCATAGCCAGCACTGAAGTCTTAGCCCACTGGCAGTCACCCTATCCTCTAAGGCCATGTTCTATGTTTATATGAAGGGATAGGTGAATGGCATTTGATAACTGATAGATTATAGATAGATGGGTGACAGATGGATAGATAGATAGATATAGATAGACAGACAGACAACTAGGGTAGGTAGATATAACTTCAGCATATGTGCCACTACCTCATGTTTGATTGAAGGAAGGGAGATAATTAATATAACAGACTGTTCCTGTAAGGGGGAGTGATAGAGAGAGCTGTGTTACATATAAAAGACACATAAAAAGTAAGACAGATGATAGGATGGGATGAAATGAATACACATGAAAATATAGGAACACACAGAGACAGATTCTCAAATAAATAAATAAATAAGATTCCCAGATATGGCTGTTTTCTTTCCTCATATTCCCCAAAGCCTACAGGTTTTTCATCAGCTTTTCATGGGACACACTTTCCCCTCCCAACTCTTCCAGCACCTACTTGATGTGCTCCGTGCGTCCAGAGCCCTCAATGGTCTTGGCTCCCCACCGCTGCTCCTTCTCGGAGATGTCATTCTAAAAGACAGCAAGCAACATCATCAGCAAGAAAGGCGCTGTGGTGCAAGGAGCCTCACACCCGACACTCTGTTCCCTGTATTAGATACTTCCTCAGAGTCTTTACTCTCACTCATAGCTGCATTTGTGCTATCTCAACCACACAAGAGAATTAAAATTAAACTAGTTATCCTCGGCACGCCCTTCCTTACTCTGAATCCCCCATCCTTTCCTCCTTGGGTCTTCCATGACATCTCAAATTATGGATCATAGGTCAGAAGAGTCCCAGATTCAACTGATCCTCAACTTCAGGATAGAGTGACCCAGTCTCTCAATTTCACTACCAAATGCACTCATACCTGTGCCTTTCTATGCTCAACACCAGTGATCATGCATTCCTAATAATGGCAGCTAATCTCAAACAGTCCTTTCTAAGCCCATCAAAAGTCAGAGAGGCTGAGATGCCTCACCCAAATGTCCAAGTAAAGCTTACTTCCTACTCACCACAAAGTCAGGGTCTGTGTCCCAGTCATCACCCTGGGTCTCCACGGAAACAGATACATCATGCCCCACTACAGACTTCCACATCTGAGGGTGACAGATGATGGGAACAATCAGGAATGAAAAAAGGATTGAGAGGAAGGATGATAAGAACACTGCAGTCAGCTATATGAGCTATCAAATGTTTCTCGCCATTCTTAGAAGAAACCAAGAGCTGAAACAAAGCAGACAGACAGTTCTAGGGAGACCTCTTCTCAACTAGAAGAGAAAGGAATGGAATTTAGTTAAGATAAATCAGAATGGTCTGAGTCCACCCATGTCTGGAGAGAAGTCAATATGGTTTTAGGTAACACTAAACAAACTCTGTCAACATGCGGCTGCTCACCGTGTCCACGGCTTGTAGAGGTGACCAATGGTTGGTCACACAACACCCACTACAGGATTGTGGTGGTGTTTCCCTCAGATTTTCCCATGGTTTCCTTTCTAGCTGTCAGGACATAAATGAGTCCAGGGTTCCCCCTGTCTATAATCTGCTTAGCTACATTGAAAATATTCTCACCTGCCCATCAAATACTGTCCCACGCTCACGCTAAGACTGCTCACTCGCTGCACAGCTGTAGGTCATCAGTAGGGACCTACATGGTTGAAATACCCACACTAACTGATACATGAGGAAACATTAAGTGACAGGAATCTCAATTTTCTAAGAAAGAAAACACCAAGGCTTTATGTTTTATCACTCAATTAAAAATTTGGTTTAACTACATTTAAAAGATAAATATTCAAACATAGCATGTAACAGGTCCCTTTTTTTGGAACACTATGTGGAATTTACTAACCAAGAAAACATTACAGAAGTCTTTGGAAAATGCTAGTTTGATCGAGTATCAATCATTCCTCCACTGGACACCTGTGTTTTATTGAGCCTTACCAAAGGAGTTTGAGGAAGAACTGTCTAGTCATGAAAAGTTGATGAAAAGCTGTAGGCTTTTGAACAGTGGTATGAGGAGGTAACAAGGGACAATGCCCATATGCCCTGGTAGTCTTTGGGATTTCCTGGCTCAGCTCCTACCTACTGGCTGGCATGTCCCTCCCCATGCTTTCTCTCAGACCTCCACCAGTGGGAGGCCTTCCTGGTGTTCATCACTCTTTCTCAAAGGAGAACCTTTTCAACTCCCCAATCACAGGGCTCGTCCTCTAGGCTCCAAGTCTCCACTTTCTAGACTCACCTGGAAACCTCCATCCTTGTCCCATTTCCTAACAACCCCTAGAAGATCATCCCTGGGGAAATCTGAGGTAGGCGGCTTAAAGACGTGCTAAGGGGCATCAGAGAAAGTGGTGAGTTAACCAGGCCTAGAGTCATGGGGAGCTACTAAGAACAATGCCTTCCACACTTGGCAATAGCTGCAGATAGGGGTTAGGACAGGTAAAGATGACCTGTGAACCCATCCCTATGGCCTCTGTTTGACATGTCCTGGCTCTTGGGCCGTTCTGCAACAGAGGGAAACTGGAAAGGAGAAGTCAACTATATGCATGGGCAATAAGGAAGCAGTGAGGTCCGATGGTCTCATCTTCTGTCCTGCTGTCGCCCCAGGCCTCAGCCCATTTCTCCCATCAACCTCTCACACTCATTTTTAAGATCAAAATAACTTAATTGCGTATACTGTTGACAACTAATTCAGAAGATTGCTAACTTGAAGCAGGAGGTTGGAGAATAATCTGGTGAACGACAGTGAATGCCAGGTACATCCAATGCCTGATGACAGTGTTGACTTATGGCATCAAGAGTCCATAGACACCTCAGTAATATGACAGCCCCTGTGAGACCACAGCCAGTCACATAAACACACAGTATATGCTTAGCCAGATACTAGACTAAGCAATTCACAGATATTAAACTTTGACAAATCACTGATGACTGTGATTTTATTCCCCAATGTTAGATAATGAAGGGGTTAGCATAGCTGCTTATCTCGACACGCTGTGATTCCAACAAACAGTTACCGCAGCTGAATAACCATGTTTGCATTTAGCTCCTAAAAGCACTTGGCTCAGCACCAGTGCTCACTTGTGGTTAATTCCTGTTCCCATACATGTCCCATGTGCATTTTGTGTCCCTGCTAGACCATAAGAAGTCCATTTTGTCTTCATCTTCTGTGGGTCTCTTTTAGCTTAGTGCCCAGGGACAGTCAGCCCTTAGAGTGGGCTGTGTAGATCATCAATAGAGCCTAGGGCATACTTGGCTGGGCCCATGGTCCTGTCCTAGATGGCTATCAATCATGTTCCCTGAGTGCAGGCCATTTCCGTGTTCCTATCCTTAGATGCTCATTGTCAACCACTACACGAAGGCCTTAAGGCCATCAGAAGTTCAACACTTATTAGCAACGCCCTTCCTCAACAAAAATTAAGTACTAAGTAGATTTCTCTTCCATGCTTCCCGTGTGCTCCCCAAGTCTCCCAGAACACTGGTACCCACCTTTATGCTTATTCAAGCTCCCAGCTTCGGCTCTTCAAGTCCACACCAGCACCCCCTCCAGCAGCTGCCACTTCGGGGCAAGAAACGGAGCAGCTGCTTCAGTTCCGTTTTCAGGTTTTCTGTCATTTCCTGCCACACTGTCCTCACAGCTACTTCCTGAAGTTTGAGTCAGTTCCTTAAGCTTTAGGTACTTAAAAGGGTTAAGTGTCTAGTATTTTGAAAAGTTTTTTTCAGGTCATGGTTTAGTTATAAAAATGACTGCCGGGCCACATCCCTAACAGTTAAGACATGTTCAAGGATGCTGCAGGACCACTCTGTTTCTCTACATAGGTCAGTTGCACCTAACATAGTAAAAGAATTCAGAACAATTCAGGTGGGTGTGGTAGCAAATATCTGTGATCCCAGCACTAAGGTGTAGCCTGGGCTACAACACTGTTATAGAGGTCTTGTCTGAGGGAGGAAAAGGAAAACAACATTTGATATAGGCTATAACAATCAAGAAAGGCTTACTGGGAAACTGCTCTGTAGTGAATTTTGAAGGGCACACTGTAAAAACACACACTTCCTCATTACCTATATCAGTTACAATGAGGCTCACACAGAAATGACACCCAAAGGATAACTCATGAGACAGGAGGGAGAAAGTTTCCTAGCTTGTTGGAAAGCTGTGTGGAGCCTGAGCTCACTGATTGAGAGAGGTCTGACTCTAGACGAACTCCAAGAAGCAGAGAGGTGAACTCTGACACAGGCCACACTGTTAAGATCTGAGGCCCTTCGCTTCTAGCTTCCAGTCAAACAAGCTCAGGTGACTTGTTTGGACCAATGAAAATAGACTCTTTCTGAGGTAAATGCCACTGAGAGCTTGTATGCTTTCACTGGCTGCTTTACAGATAATTCCCCCAGGGGGACTCCTCTGGCACCTTTGGGGCCCTCAGTGACAAAGACAATGAAAATAAAGTCCCAAGGATCTCTGGTTGAAAAATAATCCTACTAAGAATTTGTTATTGAATCTGAGCCTGGTTCTTCTCATCTTGCTCATCTGTGGAGTTCTGACCTGATTGGCTTAGAGATAAGCCCCCAAAGGGACCCAGAAGGACTGGTGAAACCAGTCTAGGACAGAAGAGCACATTCCTGTAGTATAACAGAGAGCTTCTAAGGTCACTTCCAAATAGACGCTAGGTTTGGGACATTATTTGTTCTGACAAAGCTATTTTAAAGTAGAGAAATATGTGTACAGGGGAATCTTTTAGCTGATTTGGAATTCTAATCCCATGTCAAAATTAGAAGTTTCAGACCAGACATTATAACACATCATATAACAATGCAGTTCTCCAGAGAAACCACAGAACTTCAGAGGTGACACTGAGAAAACCCATTTCCCCTTGACCAACATCCCATGTTCATCCCCTGAGGAAGGGGGTGTAACACGAAGGAATAGCAAGGCTTTGAAACCAAGGAGATAAGGTTTGAAATCTGTTTGTACATTGAGACAGCAGGCCAGTTTTTCCCAAGCAGCAACTTCATATAAAAGCACAATTATACCTACCCAACCTGCATGAGCTATGAAACCTCCCCTCCTGCACTCTGTGTGTGTGTGTGTGTGTGTGTGTGTGTGTGTGTGTGTGTGTGTGTGTGTGTGTGTGTGTGTGGGTGTGTGTGGGTGGTGGGGGGAGGTGTCCTGGGAGACTGTTTTTGTTTGCTGTTGTTTTGTTTTTTGTTTTTTTTTTGAGACAGTCTTGCCATGTAGCACAGGCTGTCCTGAACTTACTATATAGACAAGAATTGACTATGAATTTATGATCCTTCTGCCTCAGCCTCCTGAGTGCTGGAATTACAGGCAAGTGCTACCATACTTGGTGGCCTAACATTTTCCAGAGTTCTCTTAGAAGAGAGAAGGCTTCAGGAATTTCACACCCTATGATTCTGCTCCTCTAACTCAATCTCAGAATGGATTTCTCCACTCTACCTCATCTCCTTTGGCTCCAGCATCTGAGGCTGGAGAGATGCTCACAGCCATCTGATGCTAGCCAGTGAGAAGGGCAGATTCTCAGAACTTTCCACTCCAGTAACCATTCCTCCATCCTTCACTCTTCATAGAGTACAAACACAGGTATACAACATCTGTGCCGACAGACAGCCTCACACAGTTCTTCATTCTGAAAATAACTTTATTATTTTACAGTAGTTGAGGAAAGTCCTTGGGATATTGTGACTAAAATTTAATCATCACAGAACAAAAGGCTGATTAGTGAGCCCACCAATCGTTTCTTCATTAGGTGATGAGGACAGGCACAGTGGGAGCCACTCATGACCACTGCTCTCAGGTCTGGATTCAGGTGTTTTGCCTTCTCTTTCAGCCTCAGCCCTGTTCCCAGAGGCAGGTGACAATGGCGTTGAAGACAGAATAACTTACCCCCGCACAATAGTGCGGCTGCTCAGTAGTTCTTGAGGCTAGAGGTTTTCATGTTCCTGTTAGCCCCTAGGCACTCAGGACCCTGTTAGAGGCACATCCAGAAAATAGGATGTACCAGGTCTTGCAGCTCCAACCTGTCTTCATAGCCACCTCTGTCGTTACAGGAACTTTCCAATGAGATGTGAGATGGGTTGAAAGTGGGAAGGCTGTTCTGGAACTGGCAATTCTGTCATTATAGATGGAATAATTAAAAGTTCTGAGAGTTGTGGTCAAGTGACAAGTTTATAGATGGCCTGTGAAACACAGGATGAGGAGGACATGGACCATCAGCAGGTACATGGCTGCAAGCAGTGGCACTCGGGTCCGGGAATGGCAGAGTGAACGCAGAACCCGCTTCCATCCAGCACCACTCCGGGTCTGAAACCAACAAAACAACAAAAAATGAGGAATCAAAGCTTCTTCACTTGAAGGCACTTTTCCTTCACCAGTAACCTTGCATTTAAGCCAAGCTGATCCCATCCTCAAAGAAGAGGGGCATTCTGGGAGTTTCCTCAGTGGCTGGACACCTACAATGCTGCCCATCTGCATACCTGCAGCCCATTCCCATAGCAGAACCCTCTCCATGTCCTGGTGTCCTTCCCCTCTTACCCTTCGACAGGTGCTGCCTGGGAGATCTATTAACACTGCAGTCTCATGAGAGCCACAGGCGTCAATGATAGGAGTCCGGGCTGAATCCCATTCACTATGCTCTTGCAACCTGTGTTGAGAAAATAGTTGTAACACGCATCCCCTGCATGACAATCTTTCCAGTCTCCCTAGGAAGGTGGCCTAGGGAACCAGCAGCAAAGGTTCCTCCCATAGGCCTGGCCCACACAGAAGTAAAGGGACTGCCTGTTTAGGATGCTGGCTTGGGTGTTTCCAGCTGCGAAGCTGTGTCTTGTCCACAGAAACATGACCAGCAATCAATAGAACTAGAATCCCATTGTCTTTAAACCCAGGACCCCCCTCCCGGCCCCCCCTCCCGTCCCCCCCCCACCACATTTGATTTTGAAACTCACCAATTCCCACCCCACCCCTGTTTTTTGTTTGTTTTTGAGAAAAGGTCTTACATGTAGCCAAGGCTGGCTTTGAACTTAAATTCTCCTGGCTCTGCTTCCCAGAGCTGGGATTACAGGTATGCGCCATTACATTTGGCATTTTTTTTTTTTTTAAATTACAATTGGCAAAAAAAACCCAAGAAATTATGTAGAGTTCTTAGCATAAGGCTAACTGCAGCCTCTGCAGTTTTCTGTTTTTCTCTCTGCTGATTTGCTTATTACTTCATTTTTTAAATTCTCCATTTAAGGAGAAGCTGCTGTTACTCAGAGGCCTCTGAAAACAACAGCCAAGGGCATGTCTTATGATTCATCTGCTTATAGGGACACACATTTTGGGGAAACTGCAACACCCCCTTCCTCTCCATGTTTCTTCCCCACACAGGCAATCTCCATCAGCTGAATACCAACCACTTTTCTGTGGGCCACTCTCTTCTTCAGTAGAGAGGAAGTGCCTTCATCTGAACCTGGTCGAGGTGGGACAGTCACTCTGCTGCCCATTCTGTTCTCAGCCAGAAGGAAAGCGAAGAGGGGCTAACTAACCTTAGGTTAAAGTGGTCCAGACACAGGCTCCAGAGTCATCCTGACTAAGCTGTCTCAAGTGGTCCAGATGAATGACACCTGAGGGGGGATTAACCTCTCCATGCACCAGGTTTCACAGAGCTAAACGACTTCGTAAGTGGCCAAGAAACAGCCATGAACAAATAGGTCTGAATATCTTTGCAAAGACACTACAGCACGTTGCACTGTGTTCCTCAGAGCTACCCTGAAAGCTACCTACACAGGTGTTGAAAACAAAAAGCTGTGAATATGCTGGATGGGAAAGAAAGAAATCTAAGCTAAAACCTGCCCTGGGGAAGACATTGCAAGGAGGCCGTTAACATCCCCAGTGCCATTTACTCTAAGGGAAGGGACAACAGACACAGTGGCTTGCTCTTGCGAGCATAATGGAGGTGCCTTCTATGTTTCTTTCCACGTAAAGGGGATTCCAGCAACAAAACACTTGTAGTCACACTACCTTCTCACAGTGATTTTCTTGACTTGAAATAGGTAATGAGGGGTTCATAGCTTGTGATCTTCAAATCACACTTGGGGTAGAGTGCCCACAAAATCACACACATCCATGACCTCCTAGCTGGGCAAAAGCAGGATCTTTTGTGAAGCCAGCAGACACTGCCCAACAGAGCCTGTGACTGGCAAAGGGATGTTCAGGGTTCGGCAGTGCATTTGCCAATAAATCAAGCCACACTCTTTATTAAGTGGTCTTTTATTCTCCCCTAGGTTACAATCTTCAAAATTTCAATTGGCTAGCACAGCACTCAGGAAGCAGAGGCAGGTGGATTTTTGTGGCTTCAAGGCCAGCCTGGTCTACAAATCAAGTTTCAGGGCAGGCAGAGCTACATAGAAAGACTTGTCTCAAAAATAGACAAAACCCAAACGTCTGGATATGAGATAGGAAATGAGAATGCATTGTTTTGGTCTCTAAGGAATCTGACGCTGGGGCCATGGGATGGCTCAGTGGGCCAGACTGTTTCTTTTGCAAGTGTGAGGATCTACACTCACATCCCCAGTACCCACGTAAAAGCTGGCCTGACTGTGCATACCTGCAATCCCAGTGCTAGGGAGAAGACAGAGGCAGGAGAATGGCTAAGGGCCTGCTGCTCACTGAAAAATGGCAAGTGTTAGGTTCCATGAGAGACTGTCTCAAGGGAATATGGTAGACAGGGATATACCAAGACACCTAACATCGTCCTCTGACCTTGCCTCCCTGCCCCCAACATGCACAGACACAGACATATAAGGACCCAACATATACCTCATATAGTTACTGTTGGGATGACGTAAGACATCTTATGCAGCTTACTTGTGTAATATGGATGGTAAATAGATTACCAACCCCTATGAGCTACAGCCCTGGGAAGCACAGGACTCTGAAACTCCAGACGTATGTGCTTCTTAGTGATGACTCTCAAGTCACTCAGGGAGATTAAGATCTTAACTCACTTTGAGCCTGGTCGCACAAATGTGCAGCAGCAAGGTCAGAAAGGCTGAGAAGTGAACAGAAGGCACCTGCCTCCCCACCCCTTACCGTCTGATCTGCTCCTCGGCCAGGGAGAGTGCATTCTCAGCAGTCAGTCTTTGGTCTCGTTCTTCTTCCAGCAGCTTCTTTAACTCACCCAGTTCTTGTTGAGCACTGCAGACTTCAGCCAAACTTGAGAGTAAAAGGCAAACAAAGGGCATCACTACATGGAGAACACAATGTCTTCATAAGGCTGGAAGTATTTCCCTAAACAGGAAGACTAACATGGAAGCATAGCTACAGAGCAAACAAAGCAGATTATACCAGGAGAGTTTTGATTCTAGTGTTTGTAGTGCTGCATGGATGCTGCTGTTCCTTTCTGACACAAAATGTTAGGTACTGTTACGTTCAGTCTTCATCACTCTGTGGTGCTAATCAGGTAACAGGACACTAAGAACGTGTGGTGAACTCTACCTCCACCAAGATCACAACCCAATTTTCATTGAAAGAGCACACACTAACCACACACAACAAGAAGTTTCATTATTATGACATTTCCATGCATGTAGATAATGTATTTTTATCATATTCACCCCCATCACCCTCTCTTGTCTACCACCCAATTTCTTTGCACACAGAGGGTGAATAGTTCCTCTACCTTGGCTGTGGCTCCACTGTGGCCTCAGGATCACTATTTCTGCAAACTTCACTCATTTCCTGGGGCGCTCCTGGAGCAACATCTACATTTGTTGGCCCCTAGAAAAAACAGCAGCGTAGCAGTTGCGATGGAAGCTCTTTGGATACTGTATGTATGTAAACTGCAAGCATTCCACTGCACAGGGAAGGGGCAATCCTTAGCTACCCCGCCCCCATCTCATGGAGCACTTCTTGATGCTGCCTTACCCTAGCCTGCAGTTGGTGCACCTGCCTCTCCAGGACTGCACAGTGCCTGAAGAGGTCACCATAGTGGTGCTGGTTTTCACGGAGACTCTGGTTGGCATCACTGAGCTGGATGGAGAGGATATTCTTTTCCTCGAGCAGCTGAGAGAGCTGAAGCAGGGGAGAGAGTAAGTACCACCCCCAGGACTGCATCACCGGAAGCAGTGCTTAGGCAACTGGCCTGAGCTTTTAGGATCTGATTTGTAATGCAGGACCTACCTTAGAATTGTACCACAGTATGTTTCTTCAAAGAGAAAAATGCCTAAATGTTTTAGTCAGGAAAGGAAAATAGTTCTGGAAGAGCAGCAGGAAACTGGTTTATTTTTAATGGTGCCAAGGTCTATGGGCTGAACAACGATTAAGAAGAAACCCCTAACAAAAATTCCAGTAGAGCAGGCTGTTCTGGGAATATAAGCAGAGAGTGGTAGGCCCATGCTTGAATTGCTAAGCCACACAGCAAGCTCACACTTAAAACACATATAATAGTATTACTGGGTGTATATGTTTCCAAGAAAGAAGTCATGTGTTTACATGTACTTGAGAAACTTTAGTAGGAGCCAAGATGCTCACAAAGTAGAAACAGTAGTGTCAAAGCCAATCTTTCCTCTGGTTCCTGAGTTACAGGCAGTGGTTGCATCTGTCCCTGCACAAGTTCAGTGTCAGGGTGCCCACTACCTGGCAAAGCAATTTAAGTCACTGGTTTCTAAACCAGAAAATCTGTATTTAATTTTTACAATGACTGAAAACATTTCCCAATCAGCTGTAGCTTCTACCAGCTGACTGGGATTTGACTCCTCTGGAACCGGAATCCTGATTCTTCACTTGTGGGCTGTCATTTTAAACTTTAGTTATGATAAATACCCAGATTTGTTAGTAGCCATGGAGATGTCCTCCTGGGTACCCAGCATGGAGACACAGGAAGGCTTGTGTCTCAGGAATGGATGGATCTGACTGCGAGTCTTGTCTTCTCTTGAGGAGTCTTCTCTAAGTGTTTGTGTAAGAAAGTTTACCAATGTTTTGGAGAAAAAAGTTTTCTAGTGTGAGAGCCCCTCAACTTCATTTCATCAAGTCCCCAGCAGCAATTCTCCTGATTGGCTGGGACCCACAGAGAATGAGACATAATCACCAACTTCAGAATGACTTCCCCCAAAACCTTGACATACTTAGTATTTGTGGGTTTTTCTCCTCATCTTGGAAAACCATCTGCTGACTTTTACTATTTTGAATCACAATGTTGTTAGTTTTGTGTGTGTGTGTGTATGTATGCACATATGTGTGATATGGGTGCATGAGTGTAGGCATGTTCATTCTGCAGCACATGTGTAGAGAACAGAGAACACTCAGGAGTTAATTTCATTTTTCCACTGCAGGATCCAGATCAAACTGAAGTCATCAGGATTGTGAGGCAAGCACTTTCAACCACTGAGCAGCCTCACTGGCCCACGTCATTTGAGTTCCTATGATAAGACGAGTGCATCCCACCCCAAACTGTGCATACATGCATTCACAACTCTCCTCCATGTAGACCTCTGGACTCACTAACCACTAACCTCATGAATAACCTCTAATTCTGGCAGAGATTACCTGTCTAGGTTTCTCTGAAGAGGGCAGGACTGGAAGGAGCCACTGAGAACACTTGGACCAGTCAGAGAGCAACAGGAAGACAATGACTCTTGGGAGATGGATGGGGAGATGTTTACACATTACTAACAAGTGTTAAGATGGGGTGAAGTTTCTCCAAGTATGGGCTTCCCCAAGTCATTCTCAAAGATCCACCAAGGGTAAGGAGAACATTGCCCATGTCCTCTGCTCTGCAAGAAACACTCGCTCTTAGAAACTTATGTTCCAAGTTCTGCTGAAAGCTGGGTGCCTGTGCTGAATCTTACCTCCAGGGAGAGAAAAAAGAAACTGAATTTCAGTCTAGCATGAAACACATACCCTCATGTTCAGCTGCTGAATTCTTAGTTCCTTCTGGTGATTTTCCTTTAAGGTGTCATTGAGCTGAGTCCTGAGAGTTTCTGCCTCATGAATGAGGTTTTGTGACCCATCGAGGGAAGCTGATGTCTCCAAGGATACCTGCCAGGATACAAACATCATTGAAATTGTCCCCTAAGATTGCTCACACCTAATTCCTCCCCTCTAGAAGAAATCATGTCCTACCCCCAAAAAGTCAGGAGGAGGCTTGCCTAATAGTTGCAGATGGACAGTTAAAGGAGGTTGCTGCTTTTTGGGTAGGGCACCCTGAACGGCAAACCATATGGATATGCTCACCTGTCTTTGGCTCTGTGTGGAGAGAATCTCAGTTTGGGAGGAAGCCCTCAGGAGACTCTGCAGATGATTGAGCTGCTGATCTTTATCTGAGATGGCCATAATGTACTGCTCCTTCATCTGCCTCTCATGAAGTTCCCAGGCATCCTTCTCCATTCTACACCATGAAAAAAAAAATTGGCTCAAATATACTCACAACACAAACAAGAAAAACTGCATATTCAAAACATTCTTATGTGATATCAGCAATGTAGCAAATCTGATACATAGAAGAGTGAATTTATTATCCAAGTGGAAACGCCCAGTGAGGCAGTGAGAGCGCGGCTGCGACAGGACTAGAAGGAGCTCCATTGGTGGGACTGCAGTGTTTTCACAGAAAAGCTGCCACTGGATTAAGTCAGCATGAAAACTTAGCCTAAGGCACCAGCATGAATGCAAAGAGTGAAGTTCAGGAATGCAGGAGTCAGTGTGCAGGACAAATACAGATGGAATGTGGATGGTAAGACCACGCGGGCCACTAGAAACCACCACAGTCCTTCAGCAGGGTCATGCCAATGATGCAGAACTAACATCAGTGTTGACTCTGAAGGACTTAGCATTCTGGTTCTTGCAAACACTAGGTATGAGACTTGAGCAAATGTCAATCTTGTCAAGTTTCTTCAATAAAATAGGAATAAACTAGTTATTTCTTAGGACTATTGTATGGATTAAATGAGATACCATACATCATTCATCAAACACAAAGCCTGGCACATGTTAAATATTAAGTAATAAGCTTTCGTTGTTGTTACTTTATTTACTTATTTTCCTGAATTTGGTGAAGAGTGGGGTTTCTACTGAACACCAGCTATTTCTTTGTTATGCCTAAAGCCAGCTGGGTGTGATATGCAACATGTCACACCGGATGCTTTCACTGGAGGATGAAGCATACGTAAATGGTCTCTATTTCTGCAGTATTCTATAAATCAGTAACTATTTCAAAATACAGTGTTACAAGACAACAAAAGGGGTCCCAATGCAAGGATAGTCCTACCTGAGCTGATGCAGCTCTTGCTGCCAGTTGAGGTTTTCCTGCCTAAGTTTCTCCTTCATCATCTGTAGGGTTTTTGTCTGCTCTTGATACTCCTGAAGTTGAGCCTTCAGTGGACGTAAGTTGGTGACTTCTTGATTCATCTGTAAGTACTGCTGCTGCAGATTCTTCAGTTCCTTCAGCTTTAACCAGAGGGAGCAGAGGGTAACTCACTTCTCATTTCCCTACTGACCAGTCAATTGCTCCTACCGCACAGGCGCCACTGTGAACACCTGTCTGCTGACAGCCAAGTAACTGTCATAACTGTCATCAAGGCTATAGGGCCTAGCCATTCATTCTCCTAGTTCTGCCCCACAGCCCCACCTCTAAGGCCCAAAGCTCTGGCTCTGACCGGAGTCAGACATAAAGGATCTACAGATTATTTGGAATGGCAAATGCGAAGAGTGGTTTCCCATGCACACATGTGCCTTTGCCAGGCTTCTGTATTTCTTACACCAACACCAGCAGCGTTTTCTTTGTTGCTGCTGCCGTTGTCTACTTGTATTGTCTTTGTGTCTCAATTTTTGGATGGAACTCAGGCCTAGGCAAGTGCTCTACCACTAAGCTACATCCCAGCTGGACGTTAGCCTTAACTCAAGCTGAACTGATGTCCACTGTAAAGGAGGTATAGATCCTGAATACTTTGGCTCTAGAATTAGATAACCTACTTATTCTTGAAGGTAAGATGATCTAAGTCTTTATTTCCCTCACCTACTAAATGAAGATCATTACAGCACTTTTCCTCATAGAAATGTGAGAATTAAATAAGAAAAATAATACATCTCACACACAAGGTTGATGAATATTAGGATGGACTTGCCTTTAGCAAAACTGCACTATTTTAAAACTCCCAATATTCACTAACAGCTTGATCAAGAAATAATGTCAGGACATCTGGAGAAGACATCAGCCTTAAACACACACTCCTTTCACCCACTCACAAATGTTAATACTACCCCATTGGTAGCTTTTTAAAAAGCACCAAACACAAGAATGGGAAGACAACCAAGGTCAGCAGCAGCATATGCGTAAGGCTGGAAAGCAGATGAACAACAGTAACTGACTTAACACATCTGAGATAGCTGGAGCTTCAGCTGGTGGTAGAGAAGCCAAGGACAACAGCACTGACTCTGCAGAATTGTCAAAGGGCTCAGGAATTAACAGCAACAAGTACCTCCGGAAAAATGGTGATGGGCATGGAGAGAGGTGGGAGCTGAGAAAAAGGGGTTTAGAGCTACTTCAGAAGCAACTGCATCCAAATCCTCAGCTCCACATGCTTTGGTACCCACACTGAAAAACTAGTTCCACTTTCCGGGAAAGGTAAAGGACGTGTCCCTGGAGCAGGGAAATACAAATACCAGCCCAGCTGCAAGGAAGAGCTCTAAAACAACAGTGATGGGTGATGCACACTGTGAGTGCTCCCGCAGGTTATAGCAGTGCTCTAAAGCAACAGTGATGGATGATGCACACTGTGAGTGCTCCTGAAAGTTAGAGCAGTGCTCTAAAGCAACAGTGATGGGTGATGCACACTATAAGTGTTCTTGCAGGTCCCCTGCTCAGCTTGGAGTTGCTGGTTTCCTTCTAAACAGGAGATGAAAGATCTCTCAATATCTGACCAGACCTCGAGTAACCAAAGACACAACCTTGGGGACCATTATCAATAAGTTCAACAAGATCACACCACAGTAAACTCACACCAAGTCCCCCCCCCCCAAGCTTCTTAGATTCGTCTCTTCATGCAAAGATGAAACAAGGATTGTTCTTCAGCTAGAGAAAAGCTAACATCAGGAATGAAAAGCAGCTGCTGGAAGAAGGTAATTCGACACATTAGCAGGGGGGCATCACATGTGACGAAAGACAAGAGAGAATGCTGTCAATCAGAAACATTACAGCAGCAATAAAAAATCAGCAAGAAAGTTCACTAGCAGAAGAAGCCCATCAGGTGTGGAGGTACAAACCTGCAATCCTGGCCTTTGAGAAACTGGTGCGCAAAGGCATGAGTTTGGGGTCAGCCTGGACTACACTGAACCCTCTAGCAAGCTTCAGCTATATAAGATCCCATCTCAATAACAAAATAGGGGTGGAGAGATAGCTCAGCAGTTAAGAGTCCTCACTGCTCTTCCGAAGGACCCCAGTTCAATTCCCATGCTGGGCAGCTCAAAATTGCCTGTAATTCCAACAGCCTCTTCTGGCCTCCACAGGCACCTTCATGTGTCATATGCTCACAGATGCATACACATAAATTAAACAACAACAAAGCAAAACAACTCCATCCTTCGAGAGATAAGTTAGAAAATTCACCCATGAAACAAGAAAAAAAAAACATTAAAAAAAGAAAACAAGAAAAAAAGGAATTTCTTGCAAATTAAGAAGCGTGGCTGGAGAGATGGCTTGGTGGTGAAAAACAGTCTGCTCTTCCATAGGACCCTGGTTCTATTCTAGCGCCCACATGGTGTTCACAACTGTTACCACAGTCTGAGGATATCCAAGGACACCGGGCATGCATGTGGCACACAGACACATATGCAGACAAAATACCCACACACACAGAGTAAATAATCAAAAAAAAAAAAGAACAACAACAACATGATGGCAAAAATAAAATTATCAAATGGGGTCAAAAAGGTAAAGCTGAGAGCTGGTGAGAGGCCTCTGTGGCAGAGGTGCTTCTATGCAGGAAACCTAAGACAAATGGGATAACAAGCACTTGGGAAAGTAGGAAGGCAAAACAGAATCAAGTAACTGGGAAGTGTGGCAAGAGAATTTGAGATCTGGAAGGATCCCCCAAAGAAAGCAATGAAGAAGACACTGCAGCCAACAGGATGGTAATATGGGCAGTGGACTCGCTGTGATCACTGTAGACTGAGGAGGTGGGTGTGGTGGCCTGCATGCTAAAGAACAAGTGAAAGGCTGAAAAGATGAGGACAAATCATAAGGTCTTGAGTGGCAGATCAAGGGAGGGATCCTAAGCTACACAGTCCAGGCTTGTCTTGAACTCACAGCAGCCTCCTGAGTGCTGCCATGCCTAGCGACACTTACTTTGAGAAATCCTTTACATTTAACTTCCTTCTGAACAAACTAGGTTTGAGCAACACTTCTAGACAAGCTAAGTTCTTACTACCCTGATCTAGCAGGTGATCAAGTGCTCAACCAACCACTGTGAAAGGACACCGAGGGACCCCGTGCTTCCCTCCAATTAACCTGCTTGAAATTCTGGAATATTTACAGGATATGCAAAGCAGCTTGGTATCTTTTAATCCTTTTATAACCAATACACATTCTGTGCAAAGAAAAAGTCATTTGAAACTGTCAACAGCATGTCTGCTTCTCTTAAGACCCAAACAATCTGGGGAATGTGCAGCAATGATGGTGACTTTTAAGATTCTACGAATAGAAACAGTTCCCTTTCTATGGAAATAAAAATCAATGTAAGGAATGGCCCAAGGCCTCTCAAACACAGATCTGAAATACAGACTCACTAATCGATCTCTGTCATTCTGGAGAGAAGACATAGCTTTCTTCAAGCTCTGCATCTCAGCTGGGCTGGAGGGAGATGAAGGGGCTGCAGCCCTCTGCTTCCCTTCCTCCAACTTCCGGAATTTCTCCAGCTCACTCCACAGGTGATCTCTCTCAGTCTGTAAACTGGTCATGGCCTTGGAAAAGGACTGCACTTTGTTGTGACAATCTTCTAGTTGCGAAGATAGGTGAAGCAATTGCTCATCTTTGGATATGAGCTGCTGGTTAAGTTTCTCAAGGTGGGACAAGCTGTTCTCAGTGGTGGTTAGGGGAAAAGCAGCCTGGGAAAGAACGTCACTCTCTCTCCTTAACTCCTTGTGCTCTTTCAGCTGGGTCAGCTCCTTCAGAACGGCCTCATACTTCTTCTTCAGGTCACCAAGCTCCTCAGTGGCATGATCTCTGCTGTCCTGCAAGGAACTCATGGACCTTCCAAAAGACTGGATCTGTGCCATAAGATCTTTGTTCTCTTTGGTTACCATGAGTAGCTTCTGCTCCATCTCGACCAGGTCTCTGGCGAGCTCTGCCACCCTCTCTTCTGCTGTTTCTGTCTCATTTCGCATTATCCCTGCATCATGGTGGAGATGCTTTAGTTCCTTCTTCAGCTTGTCCTCGATTTCACTGACCTTCCTGGTAGCTTCTTTCTGAACACACACCAACTCCTCTTCCAGTTCTGCAGCTCTCTTCTGGGAAGAGGAGAGCGCTGCATTTAACCTCTGAACCTCCTCCTCTTTGTCTTTCAGTTGGGCACCTAGGGTACCTTCTTCCTGCAGGGCTGCCACTTGTCTCTTCAAGCTCTCAAGCTCTGTAGACAAACACTGTTTGTCCCCTTGGAGGGCATCAGAGGACCTCTGCAGGCTTTGCCTCGCTTCCTCCGACCCCTTCAGCTTCTCTTCTAGTTTAGCACATTCATTTTTCAACTCCTTATTTTTCAGTAGTTGCACATCAAGAAGTTGCTTTTGCTGACAGTCCTTTATGACTATCACTTCGTTCAGGTCTTGCCTGTACTGGATCAGTTCGGCATCTAGCTTGGCATTCTCAGAATTGAGGTCATCCATATGACTTCTCAACCCTCGAATTTCTTCCTTCAGTTTATTATTCTCAGCAGCAGCTTCTTGGATGAGTTGGTCTTTTTCCAAGATCACAGAGAGATGTCGGTCTTCCAGCTGCTGATAGTCACTTATTATGCGGTCTCGGTCATCCTGGAGCGAGGCCATGGATTTAAAAAAGGAATTCAGCTGGGCTTTCTGCTCAAGGTTCTCTTTCCTGATATTTTCCAATGTTTCCATGAGCTGATTGGTTTTCTCAACAGCCTTTTTGTTGTCTTCTTCTAAGGTGGCATTCTCCTCTTCCTCCTGAGACAACAGATGTTCTAATTCTTTAATTTCCTTATTGTGTTGTTGGCACAGCTCAGCGACAGCTACCTGTACTGCCTCCTCCTTGCCTGAAAGCAGGCTTACAATCTTCTGTTCCTTCATGTGGATTTCATCATGCAATCTACCAGTCAGCTCTCTAGAGGCCTTTAGGTCAGTCTCGAGTTGTTCATAACTGAACTTACAATTTTGGATTTCAGCTTCTTGCTGCTTTATGATCCCTTCCAATTTTTCTTTATGGTCTTTACATTTTTCTAAAGAGTTATTTAAGTCACTTGACTGGTCTTTGAGATCCTTAAGTTCTGATTCCAACTTAGCTACTTCATTCATAGAATTGTGGTATAGTTGTCGAGTCTCTTCTAGCTGGGACACAAGTTCTTTGTTTTCCCCCTGCAGGGTATCACAAACTTTCTGTTGATGTTGGAGCTCTGTCTGGGCCTTGGACCCCCAAATTTCCTTGTCATGTTCAAGCCTAGGAGATGGGGTTAGGGGAGAGGAGGAGGGAGGAAAAGGAGAAAAATTAACTACAGGACATACTACAAATCAGTCAGCATTCATTATAGAAGGTTCTAATAGTGATCTTAGTTCTCTGCATCTATACACAAGTACTAACAAGATCCATCACACAGAAAAATAACATAGCTGCATCACAGAGATCTGAATCATGAAACCATATTATTTATTTTAGTGATCCATTTTGAGACACTGAAAAGTAAATCAGCCCTGGTCATCACCATTTCATCCTACCTTGCTCCAGACAAGCTAACAGTGGGTTTCTAATCCTGGTCAAAAAAAAAAAAAAAAAAAAAAAAAAAAAAGGGGGTTTTTAATCCCAGGAAAAAAAAAAAAAAAAAAAAAAAAAAAAAAACAGTAAGGAAACAAAAGGGGAGGAATACCGAGGGTGGTGGCACTGTCAGTTCCTGAGCTTGAAAGGTGATATTTGAGAGTGTAAAGACTGGATTTCTAACTGACAGAGAGAGCATAGTTGATGCAACTGTGGCCGAGAGGACAAGACCATTTAGGACACCTAAGCAATCCTTCGGGAGTAAGCTGGTGGAAATATACACAAAAGTAGTAAGCTGTCAAAAAATCCTGACACAAAGATGAAGAGAAAGAGAAACTTATGTTATCTCTTAACAGCGATATGGGGGAAAACACATCAGTGGCTCTATGTTAATGATTTTATGTTAATACTATTATAACAAGTCACAAAAATGGAAAAAAAAATGTCAGAAGGGAAAGAGGATATACATTCTAAGGGAATTGAAAACAGAAATGGATTCTGTAATTCTAATAAGTAAAAACAGCTTAAAGACTTGCTTTGCCTTCACAATCTCACCTGGAGATATTGGTCTTCAGTTCCTCTGTATGGATGCTCATTTGATGAAGCTGATCCTTTAGAGCCATGCAATTCTCCTCTTTTAGTCTGATCTCCTTTTCTTTGGTTTGAATAGCATCACCAAACTTCTGCTCCCATTTCTTGGCTTCATCGATGACCCTGTCACGGTCATCCTGGAGGGACGACATGCTCTTAGTGAAGGCTGCAAGCTGGGCCATGGTGCTGTCCAGGCTTTCCTGCAGCTGCTTCATTTCTTTGTCTTTCTTGGCTACAGTGACCTGGATCTCTGCAAGTGTGTCTTCCACACGGGTCTTTTCTCCATGCAAAGCATCCAGTTTCTCTTGCATGTTGATTTTCTCTTTTAGGAATTTTTCTTCTGCTTGCTCCAATCTTCGCACCAGATCTTCATCTTTTTGTTTCATCTGGTTTTTGATGGCTTCTTTGTTTGACTGAAGTTCCTTTTTCAATCTGAGGTTGTCTGCTAGCACTCTCGCAGCTTCACTTTGGGTGTCATCTAGCAGTACTTTGAAGCTAGATAATTCCTCTTGGGCCTGTTTGTGGTGTTCAACTGCCTGTGCCAGATTTCCTTTGGTCACGTCCAAATCCTTTTGGGATTCAGTCTGGACATACTCTAGAGCCTTAACGGTCTTCTCCAGAGCACTGATCTTCTCCTGGTACCTGATACAGTCCTTCTGCAGCTGCTTTACCTCTTGCTGTTTTTCTTTCAACAGCTCCTGCAGCTCCTTTGCATGGCTTTTGTTGCCAGCTCCTTTCTGGGCACCTTGTATCTTCTCTAAATACTCTTTTCGGATTTCTGTCTCCACCTTTGTTTTTTCCTTGACCAGCTGCTGCTTTTCTTCTTCTAATTCACTCATGCACTTTTTAAGGTTCTGCATTTCAGATTCTAGTTGCTCATTTTTTATTTGAGCATCTGTAACATCCTGATAATAATTCCCAATGCTCCCATTAAGTTCTGCCAGCTGATTCATAAGCCTCTCTTCTAAATCATCCTTTTCCTCCTCTGCCATCTCTTTTAGCTTCGTAACTCTGGAAAGTTCTTCTTGGATTTGCTGATTTAATGTGTTTATTTTGGCAACTTCTTCCTCAAGTAGTTTTAATTCACCATCCTTTGCTGATATTTGACTCAGGAGGGCATTTTTCTCATTTTCTAATGTCCGATTAAGTTCCCTATCACACTGTTTCTCCATCTCTAACTCAGCAATTCTTCCATTGAGCTGATCAAGCTGCTGTAGGTAGTTATTGATGTCATCGTGGGAGCGGAAAGTCTCACTAATGCCAGGCTTGGCACTGGTCACTGACAGAATACCTTCCGGTACTTCAACTTTAACGCTCCCGCTCTGGGAATCTTGCTCTTGAGACTTGCCCACCATGGCTTGTGTTTCCTCTTTTTGTTCATTGGACTTCTCAGTGGCCTCTAGGCTAGCTTGTTTCAGTATACCGTCTTCTACCTGATGCTTCAGACCTTGAATCTCTTCACTCAGAATGTCTTTCTCTGCCATTAAAGCCTCAAACTCCTTAGAAAGGGTTTTATACTCCAGTTTGACCCTTTCTAGTTCCTCCTTCAAGCTGGAATTGGAAGAAAGAAGAGCTTCCATGCTTTCTTTGGCTCCTCCTATAGGCTGGGCCTCTGCTCTAAGCCGATCGTTTTCTTCCTCCAGCTCAAGGATCTTCTGTTGTTTAGATTTAGCAAACTTTCTCATCTTTTCTTTCATCTCTTCCATTTCGTGTTCTGCATCCTGCAGCTGCTTTTCCGTCTCCTTCTTGTCTGTCTCAATGCTTCGTAACTTTCCATATAATTCTTGTTTCTCTTGCCTGACGCTTTCCACCACATGTTGAATTCTTTCTGCTTCATTGCTCACATTCTCATAGGACTGCAGAAGAACTTCATACTCCTTCTGCAGCTCCTTGTGCTTCTCTTGCCATTCGGTGATCTCAGCCATCTTAGAACATCTCAAAGACTCAAGTTCTTTCATCAGCTTTTCTTTATCTTCGGTAAGACCCTCCAGAGCTAGTTTCAGGCTTTCACAAGAGCCACCAAGGCTCTGATTTTCCAGTAAAGACCTGTCCACTTCTACAATGAGTTTGTCTCTTTCTTCCTGAAGAAGGGCTAGCTTCCTTAGGAATGCATCTTTCTCTTTATTTTGAACAGAAATCTGGCTTTCCACATCTGCCAGAGACTTGGTCAGGTGTTCAACGGCATCTCTGGCTGAAGACAACTCCTCTTGCAGAGTCTTGTTTTCTTTCAGAGCCTCCTTTCGGGAGATGAGGGCAGCCTGCAGTTTCCTGTGTATTTGTTGCTTTGCTTTAGTTTCGTCCTCAACCTGCTCCGACTTCTGCTTCAGCTGACAAAGTTCTAGCTGGGACTGCTTTAGCCTCTCCTCATAATCCTTGGCATGCATGTCCATCTGTGTATGCAGAGCCTTGATTAAATGCTCCTGCTCCAGCATCTCTGCCTGGACTTTTGTGAGGGTCTCTTCTTTCTCACTAAGCTGCCCAGAAAGGTAGCTGACCTCTTCTTCCTTCTGGGCCATGTGCTTCTGCAGTTCATCTAGTTCATGCTGTAATGTTTTCAGATGTTCCAGGCCAGCAAGTTTTAGTTTGCTGCTTTCCAGTTCATGCTGCAGGATTTCGGCGTGGGCCTCAGCTTCATGGGATGCAGTCTTCCAAGTCTGGATTTCTAAACCTTGTTTACTGATCTGTTCTTGTAACAGAAATACTTCTTCTGATTTCTTAGTCAGCTCACTTGCTGTAGAACTAACTTTCAATTCCAGCTCTTCTTTCTCTACCTCCATTTCTATTAACTGGGCCTTAATCTGGGCAACAGAAACAGTAGCCTGGAGAGCTTCTGCATCTCCAGGACAAGAGGGCTGAGTTATGTGTAAGTCAAACTCTGCAGCAGGTTGGGCAGGCTGCTGTTCTGTGTCCTCGAGTGAAACCTCTTCGAATCCTTGAATGGGAAGACCAGGTTCCCACTGGTTAGTGCCTGGGAGTTTACTGTCTGAAGACTCCCTCGCTTCAATCTGGAGTTGCCTCAGCTGGTTTCCCATGTTTTCAATTTCCTTACTCTGTTTGTCAAATTGCTCCTGAAGGAGACTATAAGCATCCTTTTGTTTCCCAAGCTCTTCCTTTAGATGTTTCTCTCTCTCTTGTGCCTTTTTCAGAATCACCTTGCGGGAAGTTAAGGCTTCTTGAAGCTTCTTTTGAAGTTGCTCCTTTTCTTTTTCAAGGTCTGATGTCTTTCCCTCCAGGTCTGCTGTCCAGTGTTCCCCACTGCCTGCACTGGGCGGGCTGCTCACGTGTGTTTCTTTCACAGGTGCAGCTGAATCTCCAGCATCCTTGGCGCCTGTGGTTAATTTCTGAATAGTTGCTTGATTTTCACTGATCTCCACTTGAAGCAAATCTATTTGCTTTGTCTTATCTTGCAAGTTCTGATTCATCTGTTGGACCACAGCCTGTAATTCTTCTTCGGCTGCCATCCTTTCTTTCAAATCTCTCTTTATGTGCTGGAGCTCCACTTCTTTTTCAGATATTGTTTGTTTTAAAGAAACTTCTATTTCTCGACACTTAGAAGTTTCACATTTTTCTGGGTCATCTTTGTTCTCTCTATATGGTTCCAACTTTCTCTTCTCACTCTCCCCGTGTGCAATCTCTTTCCTACATTCCTCTTTCGCCTTGGCTAACTCCTCCTCCAGAGTACCGACTTTTTGTAGGAGCTCCTTTCGGTGAATAAGCGCTGCATGCAGCTTCCTCTTCCTCAGCTCGCTCTCTTTCCTCAGAAGCTCCAGTTCCTGCTGAAGCGCCTCTTTACTCAGCAGCCCCACCGGGCTGGACTCATCGTGGCTATGATTAGAAATGACTCCATGACTTTCTTCTACCTGCTCTTTTTTAGCTTCTTCAGCTCTGGACAATACATTGAGCTGCTCCTTCAGAGTCTTAATCTCAACCCCAAGAGAGAACTTCTCTTCATTAAGCTGAACCATTTTCTCTGTCATACTGAAACTGAGTTCAGTTACCTGCTGATCCTTCTCCTGGATGGTTTGCTGGAGGGTCTCCACATCTTTCTTTTTCTCTACTAAGAGTTGGTCCATTCTGGCTACTTCTAGTTCCTTCTGTGATAGAGCCTGTGAAAGCTCTTCCACCTTTTCTGAGATGTTCTTCACATGTTCTGCCCTCTCTATCACCTCACTCTCCTTCTTCTGCAGCTGGCTTTGCAGGCTTTTTATCTGAGTATCCTGTTGAGAACATTGTATTTGCACATCATCAAGTTCTTTCTGTAAAGCTTCAATCTTCACGTCCTTTGATTTGGCTTCTATGCTTAGGCTGTGGATCTGTTCTGTGAGCAGGTTGTGCTGAGTTTTCTGGCTCTCGTAGTCCAGACCTCTTTGCTTTTCTGCTTCCGCAAGGCTGCTTTGCAGCTCTTGGACCTGAGCCCTCAGCTCGGCCAAGACATCAAGCTCTTTTATCCGAGAAAGAAGCTGGTCTCGCTCCTCAGACAAAACAGTGAGCGTGCTGTGGGCATCCTCCGCCTTCTTCTTAAGTTCGTCAATAAGCTCGGTTAAGCTGCTAATTTCCTTATCTTTCTCATCTAAATTTTTCTCATGAATTTCTTCTGCCTTATGAAGGCTTGTCTCAAGCTTGAAAATTTGAGTTTTCAGACTTTCCAATTCACTCTGGTGACACTGGCAAGCATCTGGTACAGAGGAGGATTTCAAATCCACTGCAGCCTCATTTGGAGACCCTGCCTCAGATGGTGGAGGCTGGCCTTTAGTGCTATCCTGTTCCTCTTTTTCAGCTGCTGGAACATTGCTCTCTTCATTGAGCATGAAGGGGCTATCTCCTGCTGTTACTGAAAGCGGCCCTTCACTCTCCAACACCTTCACTTCTTTCTGGTCAAGGACCTCAGAGTTCCCGTCAGACCTCTTGCCCTGCAGCTGTGACTTAAGAAATGCAATTTCCTCTTGAGCTTCAGTCATTTCCACTAATAAAACTGACAGTTCTTTATGTTTCTGAGAAAATGTGTTCTCTGGGTCATCTTGTCCACTTTCTTTGGTCAAAGAATCACTCTTGCTAAACTGAGTAACATCAGGGACCTATTAAAAAAGAAACAAGACAACCAGGGAAGATCTTAACCAAATATTTCATATAGTATTAAAAATAGCCACCATACACTAGCATTTCATGAATTTTCTAAAACTTGCAACCTTCTGGTCGAAACTTCTTTTATACCACAAAGCTACTAAAATTTGTAAAACTGCTTCTCCCAAAATGAACGTGGAGGATTCAGATAGCTCAACTCCGAGGGCTCTTTCTAGTCAAAAGGCCCAAGGAAGTTTGGGATCCATTTTCCAGATATTTCCCATATGAAACCATTCTTCTTCTAGGTTAAAACACCTAGTTATTTCTCCTAAGAGTTGCGTCTAAGAAAGCAGGCAATGAATTAAAAACCCCATCCCACACCAAGGAGTAAGCCATGAGATTTCTTTTCCTAAGCAATGAAATAGGAAAGTTGTAAAATTAAACAAAATAAGCATTATCACTGACAAGTAGATTACCAAACAAGTAGATGCAGATGAGTTACCAGAATCAAAAAGCCCCAACCCAACTCTGCTGATGACTAGGATGGACCCATGTGGCAAACATGAGACAAATTATTAGACTCCTGTGTTAGGCTACTGAATCCACACCATCTCCATTGATGCTTGCTTAGGGAAGAAAACTAGCCAGTCTCACAATGTATTTAATTAGTTTAGGTTCAGTAAGAAACCCTGCCTCAAAAAACACATTTGAGAGAAACCAAGGAAAAAAACCTGACACTGGCCTCCGATCCACACATACACAGGCACACACTGGCATGTGTTCACGCACGTGTGTGTGTGTGTGTGTGTGTGTGTGTGTGTGTGTGCACATATACACACATCCATCCCATATACAGATACACACAAAGAAAGGTGTGGGGGGATGTGGGAGTGGCTCACTGGAAACAGTCCGTGCTAGAACCTGAGTTTAGATCCTCAGCATCCACGTAAATGCCAGGCATGGTAGTACCTGTCTATAATTATATCATTTTTCATAAGTATGTTCTTGTTAATTTAGAATTCTCTGCTGTCTGCATGATTGAGACTATAATTCATAGAGCTCTAAACTAGACTCAGTACTAGACACTACAGGGGAAACTCCTATAACTTCTTCATGCCACATTCTCATGTTTCCTACAGGCAGGAGAGTCCAATGCAGAAAACAAAATCATCCATCACTGGGTTTTATGTAACCTACTGCTTTTGTTCCGTTATCCAAAGTGCTTTTATTTCCTCTTTCATTCTCTTCCCTCACTCCCTACAGTATCTACAGAGTTCAGTTCACTTTTTGTTACAATGGGTGGCCCCACACCCATGCATGTATCAGTAATACTAACTGACTTAGTTGGTTATCAAAAAAATAAAAAGACATGAAATTGGAAGAGGGACATGCTAGGGGGATATGTGGGGAGCTGGAGGAGGGAAATTGGGGTGGATATGATTAAATATCATACATGTATGTACATGTGTGAACTTCACAATAAAAGAAAATTTCAGTTACAAAAGTCACAATTTTGTAAAGGCTCCTTTGAAATATAATCCTGAGTAAAAATTGCCAGCTGCAAGACAAGAGAAATTCAAGAGATTTTGTTTAATCTCTACCAAGAAACAAGCTGTGTGGTTTGAATCAGATTGTCCTCCACAGATTTGTGTATTCGTACACTGGGTCCCCAGTTGGTGGTGCTATTTGGAGAGGCTTTGGAGGTGTGGCCTTGTTGGAGGAAGTATGTCACTGGAAGTGGGCTTTGAGAGTTAGAAGACTGGATCCATTCTAGTTCACTCTCTCTTCTTCAAGCTCATGATGAAGGATCAAACTGAGTTACTTCCTGCCCCTGCAGCAGTGCTTGCTGCCTGCTTGCCATGTACCATGATGAACTCTTTCCTTCTGGAACTTTAAGCCCAAATAAGTTCTTTTAGCTGTCTGGGTCATGGTGTTTTATTACAGCAACAGAAAAAGTAACTATTACACAGATACTTCTATACTTGTGTTGGTTTAGGACAAAGAATTCCAAATATTTGGAAATGAATAAATGAAAAAGTCTAATCATTATGAATCTCTCTTTTTTTTTTATTAGTTCAATGAATCTCTTAATACACCCCATGGGTAATATAATTTTCTGTTAGCACTAATAACTGTTGGGGTTACCTCCTCCTAATCTAGGTCCCATTGTGACTGGGTCAAGTGCTCACTTACCTCACAGACTGCACCATCAGTCTCCCCTGATCTATTCTTAGTCTCCAGAAGGGTAATTTGAGAAGACAGTTTTTCTGAAAGTCAAAAAGTAGTATCTTTAGTCAAGATATGTGGAACATTTGAAAAAAAAAAAAAACAAGTAGTTGTACTAAGGGTACTTGAGATGCACAAAATAATGAAGAAATAAGCAAAGTAGTTTGCAGCTGAAAGCACCAAAAGAATATGAGATATCAGACACCATGAGAAAAATATTCTAAACAGTGAAAGGTTTAAATGGCCATAGATGCAAAGACACTTGAGGTGGAATAGTTACTTCTATGGTATAATCTGGAACTCTACCGCCTTAGTGTATTGGATTTTTGCACAATTGCACTTAAAATGTTTTCAATGCTTTTTTTTAAAACAGATGTTCAGGCATTAAAGTTAAGCACTAAAAAGAAGCTATGCAATCTCAACAAGCAAATGAGGAACAGAAGGGGTTACAAAGTTGTATGGACAGCTGGGATCAGAATCCAGGTCTAACTCTGACATAGGGTAGCAATGCCCTGGAAGAGAAAACTGTAACACTGACACTAGTACCTCCAAGAGGCTTATATTCCTTCTGATAATCTAATCACACTAAAGAAAGAGTATGGTTTTTATTCAACATCTCAAAGCCTTAACATGACCTACTGGAGCTCTTGTGTTTTGACGCTTTATCCCCCAGCCTCTTCTATTGCCACTTTTTTTAAAACTCTACTACAAAAACCCAGAGCTTTGTTCTGTTATGCAAACACATTAAATTCACTCACATATCACAGTTGTTCTGGCTTTTTCTCTGATTAAAATGTTCTTAGCATGAATGCTCCACTTTTAGTCATTTAAATGTCAAGTTCCCTATCCTGACCTCTAATACTGCCTTTCTCTTACCTGAGATTTACTTGTAGTACCCAATTTCATTTTTATCCTAATATTTATTACTCTAAAGTGTCCTTTTTGTATTCATGTTTATGGCCCATCCTGTCTAACATGTTCATAGCTGTGTCCTCAGCAAATAGAACAGTGGCTGGCTCATAGGAAAGGGAGAATATTCAAGAAACAAATGATTTCAAGACAGTACATATAATACACGCAGACATCTCAAACCCCTGAGAAAAGAGTATAGCTGTAGAAATGACAGTACAAAAAGTGACATGACACCAATGCAAAGGCAATTTATGATAGCAGACACAAAAGCCAGTTCAGAAAACTCACAGGACCTGCAAAGCAGGTGAAAACCACACAAACTTTCAAAATGGTAAAATAAGGATTAAGTACTTTAAGTGAGTGAAACAGTGAAGTTGAATTGTGGCTTTACCGTCAATGGCAGGAATGTTTTAAATAATTATGCACTATGCATAATTTCCAGGTAGGAGCTAAGTGGAAAACTATAAATGGTTACATGGAGATATTGGATCTAGTTTTAGAAAGGTTGCTTGGTGTCTGCTCCTACTCCCAGATAATACAGCACAGTAGTCAGATGCTCTGGAGCAGAGGTTCCCAACCTGTGGGTCATGACCCCTTTGTGGGGATTGAATGACCTTTTCACAAGGGTTGCCTAAGGTCATTGGAAAACACAGATATTTATATTACAATTCATAACAGAAAATTTTTATTTATGAAGTAGCAACAAAAATAATTTTGTGGCTGGGGTGACCACAACATGAGGCACTGTATTAAAGGGCTGCTGTGCTAGGAAGGTTAAGAGTCACTGCTCTGGGTGAATGAGAGAGGTTAACACATTATCATTATGCTACTGAACTGAGGAGGTTCTTCCAAAGCACACCGCAGACAGAAGATAGGTTCATTCTCATTGACTACTCACACAGACCAGTAGAACGAAATGATAATACAGTCATCTTAATCCAACAAAATTTCATTTGGCAACTGTTAACTTGCCAGGTGCCAGGTGCTACTAAGTTTAGGTAAAACTAAAAAAAAAAAAAAGTCCTCTGCCCTAAAGAGCTCATACCATTTCTTCAGGGGGTTTACAATGAAACACACACACACACACACACACACACACACACACACACACAATCCGAATACTTTAGTGACGGTATAAAAGGATGTTATGGGAGCACAAAGCACTTAACCCAGGATGAAGACTGAATTCCCAATGAAGACAGTGCCCTGGTTGAGGGCTGAGGGCTGAACAGCCCGACTTGGAGGAGGAGTAAGAAAGAGTTCAACCAAGATGTGAACATGAGCAAAAGCCAACAGGGAGTCCACCTTTATTTGACTTACTGATTTTTCTAGGCTCCTTCCTTTCCTCATTCTACCTATTAAAAAATTCAACATCTTAGGATAGTCCCATATGGGCCATGATTCCTAGAAGAGATCATTGCCATTCCCAAATGAATATAGACCCTTCAGAACCCTGCAGCATTTGTGGGGCATATCATAAAATGCACAGCACTTCTCCACACTATTTATTAGCTTATCGTGGTAACGGCCAGCTCTGCTTCCAGGGATCCTCAGTATAGAGTCACAGGAGCGACATGTATACAGTGCTAAGAGCAGAGGTGCTTCTGGGGCAAGAAGACAGAATTACGGTTTTTATTCATACATACCATTCTCAGCTTTTAGCTCCTCCAACTCTACAGTACAAAGGAGCAGGGCTCTCTTTTCATCCTCTAGCTCCATCACTCTCTTCTGCAAAGAGGTGATATTCTCCTCAGTGACTGCCTAAAGTATAGAGAGACAGCAAATTAATAATTACCCAGAGAAAGCGCTCTCATTGATGTCCAGAGGGCCTCTAGCACTTGTACCAGCTCAAAGTTCTCCAGCCATGAGGATGCTTTAGAAACACCATCTACCCCTTGGTATATTTCTGGAGGATTTTTAAATTCTGAAGACAGAAAAGGAAATGAAATATATCCCCCATAAGCGTCCAGTACTTTGGGTTTAGAATAAATCATTAAAGCCTGGATTACAAGGATAGAAATCCCAAGTCAACTGTGTGTGAAAGAATGTTTTAAAAGTTCACAAGTGACACCTTGGATTAGATTAAAGCCAGAAAGCAGCAAGGCCTGGAGGAAAATGAATACAAACGAGATTTCTCAAGAGGAAGAAGAATTGCGATGGCTGTACTTTGGGTTTTTCCATTTACAATAAAAATGCTCTTCAGTTTAACTCATGTATCCAGAATGTTTAGTGACAGGCAAGTATCTGTTACTAAATCTTCAGTTTTTTGTCCTTTTACACATTTTTTACCCTTCAAGGGGCTTATTTTATACAATTTTCCATGTAATTCCATGGAAATTTCCACATTAAGCTATAGTGTTTGCACAGCATGCTTGATCACAAACCTTCACTGTGGATTAAAGAAACCACAGGGCATAAGTTTTAGGGCTTGGGATTTTTATCTAGAGAAAGGTTTCTAGTTTGTAATATACTGACAAACAAACAAACAAAAAACTCCAATAAAATGGCCATAAAATTTGGCAATAAAATGGCCAAAAAACTCCAGGCCATTCCACCTGGAAAAAGAAGAAAGACTTGAGGAACAAAGCAGCAGTGTGAAGACCTTCAGTCAAGGGGTGTTAATTCTGTACATAAATTCAGCCTAAACTCCACCTGCACAATGAATGATGTAACTACCAGTCAACTCAAACCACCCACCTAAGACAAAAATAATCAACTGAGTTTTGGGGTTCTCTAACATGGGCAAGAGTTTATAGTGTGGGTCCATGTTATTGGCTGATAAAAAGTAATCAGAATGCTTCAGACTTTTTGAAACAGCAAAACAGAACCTCCCAAACAAAGCATGCATAGCATTTAGGTAGGAAACTGTGATTCATTCGCAAGGCAAAATATAATCAACAAAGACTAATCACAAAATGATACAAATGTTGGATTAGCAAGAATGAATTTATTTATTGTGGTGATAGCAATCGAACCCAGGGCCTCATGCAGGCTCAGCAAGTGTTCTACCACTGAGCTACATTTTTTGAGTCAGAACCTCATAATATAGCTCAGCAAGATGGCCCTGAACTTGAGATGTCTTGTTTTTACCTCCTCAGTTCTGTTCTTACAAGGATAAACTACCATGTCTGGCTGCAAGCTATGATTTTAAAGAAGATATTATACCTATGATAAGACATAATATGTAACAATGAAGGAAAAGGCAGGAACTTTTTGGTGCAGACAAACAACTCTATACAACGAAAAAAACCGAAAATCTAGAATAGAAAATCAGAAACATAAAATGAAAAATCCAATTGACAGGCTTGATAGAAGAATACAGGTAAAAGAAGAAAAGCATAGTGAATTTGAAGACAGATCAACAGAAATTAGTCTAATTATTGAAGAAAATGACATAGCCTCAAGGACATGTAGGACAACATAAAAGTATACTTTAATTGGAGCATCAGAGGAGAGGAAAGACAGAATACGCAGAAAAATTATTTTAAAGCTCAGTGGAAAAATGATACTTCCATCTATAGGAACAATTATTTGAATAATTACTGAAGAACTTCTGAGGGAGATGTAAGACAGAAGACAACAAAATATATTTTTAATATCCTGAATAAAAAAGGCCAATACAGGATTATAAATCCATTCAAGAACAAAACAAAATGCAAATACTAGATAACACCATGAGAATTTTTCTCTAGTAGACTCAACAAGAATATGATGGTTATTCTAGAAAACCATGGTATCAGGTGGAAAACTGAACCTCAGAAAGGAGAGAACATGGCACATGTTAAGTATGTGGGTGAATATTAAGTCAATATTTTACATGTTTTAAATACATGTAACTAACCGTTCAATGCATATATGTTAACAATATGTGCTAAGATTTAAAACCTTAACGTAAACATTCAGTAAATACAGTATACTGAACAGGATGAGAGCATGTCATTACAAGGTTTCTATATTTTAGGTGACACAGGCAGGAGTCAGAAAAATAATCTAATGGCAAAACAGCTTCCAAAGTTATTGCAAAATTGAAACCCAGGGATTCAACAGAGTCAATGAAGTCTAAGCACAGAAAATATGATGAAGCGAGGCCAAGGCCTATTAATATTCCAGTGTTCAAAGACAATGATGAGATCTTAAATCAAATTATAAAATGAGATTTCTTATTAAAAACAAAATGACAGACAAGATAGCTGAGAAGTACTCTTTAAAGTGTTGAAAGCAAAAATAAAACAAAAAAATCCAAACCTATCAATGTAGAGTTCCACAGTTAGCAAAAACTACAAAGCAGAGATAATATTATAATTAGCTATATAGGAGCTGTAAGAACCTATCACCAGATGCATGTCTATGTCTGAACACACAGACACAGGCACATGCACACACACACACTGCCATCCATACCCACAGGATAGTTAAAAGCAGTCCTTGACACAGAATGGCATCAGATGGAAATATGTAAACCAGAGTTAGAAAATTGTGGAATTTTATCAGAACAATTTTATTTCTGCTTTTCTCTACAATGGCAATTTAAAAGAATAAATACAACAATAGGTATGAATCACAAAACAAGTGAAAATGGGACACACACTGCATGACTAGAAATAAACCATGTGAAATTATGGTGGAGAAGATACTGTGTACGGTGATGACAATATGTTATACCTTTTTAAAAGTTTAGATACCATAGCTGAATGCACCTGACAAAACACATTCATGATATACTTACAATTTATGCATTTAATGGTTTGTAAATCTTACCTCTAGAGAAAAAGAAGAATTGCTCAACTAGTATACCTCAACTACCAACAAATACTGAAATGTAGTTAATAATACACATGCTGAAATATTTGGGGAAAAAAAGCTCCCAATGTCAAAAGCCTACTGTGAAAAACATAAAACATTAAGATGAACTGATGGACAGAGATGGACACAAGGACAGATAGCTAATAAAGCAAATGCATATAATATGATATTATGATACAATCTAGAGGGGATATGAGTTTTTAGTATAAAGCTGTTCCAATCTATGTGAATAGTTGGAAAATGTCTTAGTTTAGGTTAGCAAATGTTACTTATGAGTCACAATACTGTTTAGAGCTTGTCTTAACAGCTCTGTCAGTGTGGGAGGGCATCATCTCACAGTAGAGGTGATGAACACACCCAATGCAGCGTGGCCAGCCAGATCAACTAAGAGCACCAGACTCCCTTTGTTCTGATACATATGCTCACTAAGTTCCTTGGGGTGATCATAAATAATCTAGTTTTCCACAAAGACAGCTGGAGAGGGAAACAGGTATATATTGGCCAGCCAGTCATCTGGAAAACAAGCTTGTTTACTGTTAATATATTTACTGAAAGTATTATGGTTTCTCTAATAGACTTGTAAATTTGTTAGACTGACTTGTGTACTCTGGACCTGAACAATTCTTAGTAAAAAAACAAAGCTGATCTCACATTTGGAAAACAAATGTGAAACAGGAGCAATGTTCCATCCACAAAACAGATTTAAGGCACTGGAGTCAGACTGCTCCTGAGATGTGTGTGTTAGCATCACTCCTTCATTAATCCTTGTGGGGAAGCTGCTTTAAAGCCTTTCAGGATTCCATCCAAGTAGACTCCTCCCGCTAAGCATTTCATTAGGTAGAAAATGCACATTTACACTCTGTAAGACTCATTACAGCCCTTCAATACAGCAACTATAAATACATCATACAGAAATTCACATTTAATTACCTGTGTGCCCTCATTATAAACATCTGGTAAAGAAGTCTGAGATGCTGTTTCATGTTTTTGCAAGTTTGGTATGTCTACAAATTGTCTAATTTCTTTAGATTTTTGCTGGAGTTGATCTAAGGAAAAGAAAACAAACAGATGCGACATCTGAGGAAAACAAAACACACAAAAGTGAGATCTGCTTCTAGTCTGAACCTAAGCTACTACCCTCTTAGGACATACCACATGAACTTTACTAGCTCAGTTACTTAACATTATGATGCCAATCACATTTTTAACTGTTTAGACCGAAGAGCATCTCAGTGAACTACATTCTTCAAAGGAAAATAAGCACATGGCATGTTACAGAGTCACAAAGAAAACTGAAACCCTGCTATTTGCATCAAAGTGGATAGAACAGGGGAACTTTGTTAAGTGCAGAAAGGCAGACAACCACACATTTTCTCTCCTCTACAGGAACTAAAGTAAAAAAGCCTCAGAAAAGATACTAATTACTAGGGACTTGGAAGGGTGAGGGATATGAGAGGAAGTTCAAGAACACACTGTCTGCATGTATGGAATTCTCACACTGAATTCCATTAACAAGCACACCTGATATATGTTAGTAAAGAAAGGCCTAGACATTTAAAATATTCACTTTTCCTTTCCCCTTAAAAATGGCTTTGGTGGAATCAGGCACTGGTGGTGCACGCCTTTAATCCCAGTACTCAGGAGGCAGAGGCAGGTGAATCTCTGTGAGTTCGAGGCTTCTCTGGTCTACAGAATGAGTTCACGACAGCTAGGGCTTCACAGAGAAGCCTGCAGTGGTTCATATTTACATTCTTCCCATACCACTTAAATATTATGAGCCCACCAAGAGTGCCCAGCGGTATTTTAAACATGTACAGGGTTCAGGGAAGGGGGTAATGTACTCAGACATTTCCCTTTTCCCTCATGATGCCCTTTAGACTTTCTGGTGGACAACTTTGTACTTGTTTGCAAGTTATTTCTTCCTAAACTCTTCCAGGGCCAAACACATTCACATCTGTTAGTATTAGATTGATGAAGATTTGTGACATGGTGTATTGGTGTTCAAGGAGTTGCGCTTTTTTATAAACTTCTAGAATGTCAAACTTTTAGAGAAATTTTCAATTTTAATAAGATATTTTAAAATGTTTCTTAAAACCTGTTTGGAGGACAAAAGTTTTCTTTAACAGGAAATTTTCACCTATAATAAAGGAAAATCTACCTTTAAACTTATGATTTCTTGTAGTTTAGTCTGCGTACTTACATCTGGCCTGGTATTTCCAGAAACAACTTCCATTCCTAATTATGTCAGTCACTGTACTCTTCTGGTCAGTCATGAGATCGTTCACACGTAACTACTCAGGAACTGAACAGAGTACACCAGTTTTTAGTGCTGTGATGATAACATTAAGAAGACTGTGACTTGAGAGGGAAGGAGAACAGGCCTGGCCATAAGAGGCGCCTTTTGTATCCACTAACAGAGCCCTGTAGATAGGAAGCACAATCCAATCAGGAACTAGAGATGTGGCTTCAAAAGCCACCAAACACTGACCTTCCAGCTGCTCAATAGCCCGGGCTGACTCGGCAGCCTGTTCACTCTTCTCTCGGAGAAGCTCCGAGTTTTCCTCCTTCAGGGCATCACAGGCAGACTGCAGCTCTTGTTCAGTCTTCTGGAGACTCAGAATATAAGCATCCTTCTCTTCCATCTCTGCTCGATGTCTCTGCTCAAGAGCGCTATACTGAGTCTCCAGCTCAGCTTGGGCTTGGCTCGCTTGCTCCAACTTTCCCTGAAGCTGATGCATCTCTTCCTGCTGGTTATGGAAGGATAATTTTCTCTCTGCCACTTCAAGTTCTACCTTTTCCATCAGAATCTTGGATTCTTGTCTCTCTGTTTCTATGGTATTCTTTAAAGTACCATTTTCAGCTTCCAACTGCAGCAATTGATGTGAAAGTGCCTAAAAAACACAAACACAAACACAAACCATCATGACTCACAGCTACACGTTTTCATTCAGGGAGCACACTCACGTACTCCTAGAAACCAGCAAGTAGCACTGAACCTATGGCACAACACCCTCCATGTTGGTTTCCAGACATTTTGGGCCCTTTGTACTCATATTTACCTTATATCAGTATTTTTTTTTCCCTCTCCCATTAGAAAATACATTCCACGAGGGAAGGAGGCACTTTGTTTCTTCCGTGCTAGTCTCTAGCTCCAGCAGAGTCCAAGGCAAAGTGGACCCAATATACAGTGAATAAATCTAGTCCATGCCCAGGAGGAACTCAGGACTCAGGCACAAAGACAGGCTGAGCATCATACAAAAGCAAAGAGAGCCCTAGAGGGACATCTGCAAAGTGTCTGCAGCAAGAGAGGGATGGGTTAGGGCGGCCTTCCTTGAAAAGACAGCCAAATAATCTAGAGTTTAAAAGTGAGCCATCACCTAGGCAAAGGAAGTACTAAAAAATGGTACATCAGGCAGAGAGGAAAACAGGAAACTTTGCAAAAAGACTCTCACCTACAATGACGAAGGAGAAGTCCAACAAAAGATGGAAACTGAAAGCCCTGGGGAAGGAACTGTGTTTGCTTTACCACTGTGTCATCATCAGATAAGCACTGAGTGTTTGCTGAAAAGAATCAATAGGTGGCACTAACCCTCTGACGTCTTAAAGGTTTTGCTGCCTACTGCCCCAAAACCTCAAGTAGAACCAGCCATCCCCTGGCAGGTAGTAGGACCATAGACAGTACCTCGTTTTTCTGTTCGGCCAAAGTCAGCTCCTGCTGCAACAATTCCACAACCTGAGCCCGGCCCAACAAGGCTTCCTCATGTTCCTCGAGCTTCCTTTGCATCACTCTCAATTTCTGGAAAGAAACATTTAGACATAATTATAGATAAATAAGCATGATTATTTGCCTACTTTTCAAAATGCCATGTGCACCTGTAAGGCTTTAGAGTGCAGAAGAAAGGGCTAAGTAGGACACCAGCATGCCATGACCCATCCAGCAGCAAGAGAATGTCCAAAAGGCCTTCTCCAGAGCGTGACAACAACCAAACCCAAATGCAAGCAAGGCCTTGAATCGGGGAGCCTAATATACTTAAGGTGAAATGACACACACTCACGTTCAAAATTACATAGTTCCTGTCCTGTCCCTAAGTAGCATAGGTAACATGCATTTCTTACCTACAAAAGAGAGCAATCTTTATAGGCAAAACCAATTCTCTTCTGTTTTCAATCACAGGGCAGGCACTTGAAAAATACCCATTGAATAAATAAATCAATATATGCAATTAATAGTCTATTTTTCAAAGTAGTGCACTCTGAAACACCACTTCGTAGTACATTCTGAAAGGCTGCTTAGAACTTGGAACAAGGTTCCGCTCAAGAACAAAGAGAAGGAGGTTGGAAAGGTGATGCAATTGGCAAAGTGCTTGTGAGGACTTGTGTCCAATCCCCATAATTCATATAAAAAAGCCAGGCCAGGTGAGGCCCAGACTGAGGAGGTCGAAACAGGATTCCCAAGGCTTATTGGCCAGCCAGCCTAGCCTAGCCTAGCTGGTGAGCTAGGCCAATAAGAGGCCCCACCTTAGAGGGGAAAAGTATCAAGGTGAATGGCTCTTAGGACGGAATGACATCCAAAGTTGTCCTCTGGCCTCCACACACATGTGCGTGTGTGCGTGCACACCGGTGTGCCTAAACATGCACTTGCACATACAAGAACACACTTATACAAACACAGATCAAACAAAGAACCTTTCATTACAGGGTTCATTACATTCTAAGTGCACACAATGTGAGTTAGTACATGGCAAACTCAAATACAATGAAGTCAATTTTCAGTATCTACTCAACTTTAAAAAATAATACCAATTTAAAAAAAGACTGTGCCTTCAAAATCACTTTTTTACCTCATTTAAAAAATACAAAATTGACTTCATCTATTTGAAGTTTAGGATTAGGGAAGAACATGAATGGCAGCTGTAAATCCTCAAATGCAAAAGAAACCAGCCCATTGCTGACTCCCACATAAGTCCCCAAGTAAATTTAGATTTAAAGTTCCATGTTCCAACCTGATGAGATGAGGAAAAATGGAAAGTAAGGACAAGACAAAAAATGATATGCAATGAAAGCCAGGACACCAATAAGAAGCCAAGGGACACGTGGAGGCCACACGGAGCCCAGCAGGAAAGGGCAGCAGGGAAGGGCAGTGGTTGGAAGTGGCTGGGAAGTCTTGATTAGATGTTAACCAAAATGACAGTCATTCTACGGAGTGTGAGCAACACACCTGTTGCATCTCTGTTTCCACATCTGACTGAGTTACTAACTGAAGAAGCTCATCTTCGTGGAGACGAACCTGTGTTTCAAAGCGGGCATCTTTCTCTCGGACCACCTGCTGCATGGAACTCAACTGAAGACACACAGCACAGAAACTATACAAGTTACACTCCAAAGCATTTCACAGACCACTCTCTCAACCTACCCTCCAAAGATGGGCATGCAGCACCCACAGAAAGCAGTTAGTTCTCTAACCCTCACTCTGAATGTCAGGGGTGAGAATTGCCGAAAGAGCAAGAGGTCCAGCAGTTACTTCAGAAATCAGAGAAAGCCTACCATTGAACTCAGAATCAGCTCATATATAATTTAATTAAAAATCTTCATGGATACTAAAATGTTTTAAATATTTTTATATTTAAGAAGATTTTATATTTATATTTATATATAACAAGAAGAGTATTTGTTTAATTCTGGAAAGATTAGAAGATTAAACACACAAGTAAAGCTAAGTTTCTGTTAACCCCTCATACTTCTCTCAGCATCAGACTCATGTTCAAAAATAGTCCTGGAACCTCATGCCCGAAAATGAGCAATTCAAGCTCATGAACATTATGCAAAATGCTCTGCAAGTGGAAATACAAGTCTATTCTTTCTTGTACGGTTTTCAAAAATATGTTTTGACTGAAGAACTGTGTGCTTCCAAGGGCATGTCACCTCCCCAGAAAGCCATGTGTAGATGTCACAGCAAGCTTCCATTTAATGCATTCTTCTCTGGCTTTCCCAACTCTGCCCCACGAGAATGCTGCTTGTCTAGAGTGTTATCTAGCTCTCACAGTTCTGTTTAAATCCCATCTTTTTTGTGTAAGCTTCTTTAACTATCATATTCATAAAACACAATTTCTCTGTCAAAATACTTTGATACTAATGTTACTTTTATCACTTTTATTTTTTGAGATGGGGTCTCACTATGTAGCCTGGGCTAGCCTGGAACTTGCCATATAGCCAATACTGCTGTCAAACCCACGATCTGTCTACCTCAGCCTTCTGAATGCTAGGATAATGGCTTGTACCACCACACTTGGTCTTTGGTTTTTTGTTTTTGTTTTTGTTTTTTTGGTGTGGCTTACTCCACGATGGATCAGTTAACATATTCATATGCCTTTGTTTTAATCAATTTATACGCTTAAAAATATATGATGTTTTCCCATCCTACATTGTGTATAATATATCAAATATCCAACAGAAGCCAAGAGGATAAAATTACCAATTTCTGGGTATATAATTCTGTGCACACAACCATTGGAGGACACCTCAGTTAGCAATGTATCTGATGGATAAGATCAGCTGTGTGCTGTGTGCAAAGGCCTACCCAAGTGGGGTGGGGGCGGGTTATAGAAATGTGACATGATCCAAAAGCATTCTTGAAGGAGAACCTTGAGGTAGGCTGTCGGATAAGAAACCGAGAACAATAGAGAGTTGAGGGTGCTGGTCTAAACAGGCTGGCTCTGGCTTCAGAAATGAGTATGAAGAAGAATGGCACATGCTAGAGCCATTAGCAAGGGATTTCATACCAATTACAACTTCTTTATATCCATGAACTAACTTTAATGTGAAGATGCTTCTTCCTGACAAGATTTAATTAGAAAAGAATGGAGCTAATAATCCATATTTCTTTTGGTTTATCTGTCAGTTTCCTTTGCATTCAGCATGAGCCAATTCCCAAGACACAGATTCTCTGTGTGCTATTAAAATGGAGTATCTGGCTCTACAAAACAAAACATGATCACCAATAAAGCTATGGCAAGTTCACCAACAGAAATAGTACTTTCTGAGGGGTTCTGGTATTGCCTATTACTACATGTGCCACTAACCATACTTACCACACTTCTAACATCTTCTACCACACCCTCCTAAGCTTGGATATCATATCCTAGCTACCATACTTTCATCTATCAAGCTTTTCAAGTGACTGCTGGGATTGGCTTGCCACATACACCACTCGGGACTCCAGGAACTTAATCCTAATGTAGGCGCCATCATCTCACCTGTGCAGCCTGCTCTGCCTGTGTATGGCTGAGCTGGGTTTGCAGAGTGTTAATGAGTTCTTCCTTTTCTTGAATCATCAGGACGAACTTCTCCATCTCTGCAGAACTCTTATCCAACTGCAGGGGGAAAGTATTTGCTTAAGCAAGGTGGCTGGCATTTTCACTTCTTTGACTCTCCTTTGTCTTGAATACCCGTCATATTCCTTCTAATTCCCACTTTGACACACAAAAAACTGGGAGACTGCTATGCATACGCTGCATAGTTTGCATCGCTAAACACATTAAGCTACAAAAGTCATAAAATGAGATCCCTCCAAAATAAATATTTCATGTTAATATTATTTAACTAACATTTAAGGCTGAATTATAAGTTACTTTTCATTATATACAGGTTT